CTCAGACTATTAAGATACATGTGTGTAGTAAAGGGAAATGGGGTTATATCACCAAGAGCAAGAAGAAACCAGGGGAGGATGACCCTACCCATGAGAGGTTGATGCAGGAGAATTACACAGTAGTGGGTTGGTTAGTGAATTATGTGCAGGCACAAATTAGTCAGCACTACTTGTGGATGGAAACTGCAAAGGAGGTGTGGGATAATGTCACGAAGACCTATTCCCAAAAATCGAATGTTGCTCGGGCTTACAAATTAAAGAATGATGTGAATAATCTAAGACAGGGGGAGAAGCCCTTAGTTGTTTACTTCTCCATGCTAAAATCTCTTTGGCAGGAGATTGATTTGGAAACTGTGGTTTGGAGGTGTACAAAGGATGCTAAAACACATAGGAAGCTGGTGGAAAGAAATCGGGTTTTTGAGTTCCTTAACCAGATTCAACCCAAAGAATGATATTGTGAGACAAAACGTTTTGGCGAAGGATGAGGTGACTTTATCTCAGGCTTATGCTATGGTGAGTAGTGAGGAGAGCAGGAGAAAAGTTCAGTCTGTAGAGCTGCAGATGGATCACTATGCTAATGCCAAGATGAAGCCGAAAGTCAACACTAGGAAGAAAGATGTCGTTTGTGAATACTATAAGAAGCCTAAACTCAAGAATGCAAACAATGGAAAAAGGAATGAGAATGTGAAAGGTGGAAATGCAAATGTAGCCACCTCCTCACAGAGTGAATAAGGGCATAGTGGTGAGAAGTTAGTGGGAGAGCAACTAGCAGCCGCCAGGGCTGAGTAGGAGAAGTATGGTCGAATAATTAGTCATCTAAAGTCTACTACTAAAGCACCTACTTCATCAGAGATAGTTCCCTCTCCATGTGCATATGCACATTCAAGTATTTGTGCTACTGCAAATCATGCTTCTATATCAAGTAATCGTAGGATCCCTTGGACCACATGACTAGTGTGTCCGATTTATTTTCTACTTACCAGCTTTTGTCTGGCCGAGATCAGATCACCCTTATCGATATGGCTCTCTTGCTCCGATCTCTGGAAAGGGAAGCATCAAAGCTTCAGACACTCTCACCTTATCCTCAGTTCTTCATGTTCCTAAGTTAAACACTAATTTGCTTTCAGTTAGTAATTTAACAAAATCTTTGAATTGCAATGTGACCTTTTTCCCTTCTTACTCTCAGAAGGTGGTTGGAAGTGGCCATGAGGTGAATGGGATACACCTGCTGGACATGCCTGGACAAAGTCAAGTATCACCTCTGCGAGTAGCTTTTGGTTCAAATGTGTTAGAGTCAGTCAGTCGTATTATGTTATGTCATTATCGTTTGGGTCGTATTTCTTTTTCTTCGTTGAGTCTTTTGTTTCCAGATTTAATTAAAGAGACTAAGTTGTCGAGTCTACATTGTGAGTCATGCAAATTGTCAAAGCATTGTAGAAACTCTTATTCTGCAAGTAATAAAAGATCTGCAGTTCCTTTTCATATTGTTCACTCTGACGTGTAGAGGCCACACCATTTACCTTGCCTGGGTGGTTATAAATATTTTATTCTATTTATTGATGATATTTCTCATTACACCCCGCCTGCTCCAGAACCTCCCTTCCCAGACTTGGACCTACCTATTTCTATGAGAAAAGGTAAGAGGAAATGTACAACACATAGTATTTCCAAACACCTGTCTTATAGCCTGTTATCCCCATCTTGTTATTTTTTCTTAGCCTCCATTTCTTATCAGTCTTTACCCAAGTCAGTTACAGAAGCCTTGTTTAAGCCAGAATGGAAGGAGGCTATGAGAACTGAAATAGAAGCACTTCGTAAAAATCATACCTGGGGTATTGTGGATTTGCCTCATGGGAAGGAACCAATAGGATGTAAGTGGGTGTTCACTATCAAGTATCATGCTGATGGCACCATGAATGGTATAAAACTCGGCTAGTAATCAAGGGTTATACTCAAGTATATGGAATTGATTATATGGAGACTTTCTCATCAGTTGCAAAAATGACCACAGTGAGAGTTCTATTATCCTTGGCAGTGGTTTATGACTGGCCCTTATATCAATTTGATATGAAGAGTGCTTTCTGAAATGGAGACTTGACTGAAGAGGTTTATGTCACTTCCACTAGGTATGTATGGTAAGGAAATGCAAGGCAAGGTATGCAAGTTGAAGAAATCTCTTTATGGCTTCAAGCAATCCCCACAAGCTTGGTTTGATAGATTTAGAGCTGCACTTGTTGAGTTTGGCTATGCAAAGACACAGCCCGATCATACCTTGTGTGTGAAGAGGAAAGGCACTCAAGTTACCTTCCTCATTGTTTATGTTGATGATATTGTCGATACAGGGAGTGATACAGAGGAAGTTTAGGAACTCAAGACATTCCTTAACTCAGAATTTGAAATTAAGGATTTAAGAGAATTGAGATATTTCCTGGGAATCGAAGTTATTAGGTCTAAAGATGGCATCTTCATCTCCTAACGGAAGTATGTGTTAGATATTCTCACAGAAACTAGGAAACTTGGTGCCAAACCTGTTTCTACACCTATTGATGCTAGCCATTAGACCTGGCAAAAAGTTGACCCAACCCACGAACCCAACCCAAAAAAAACAGGGTTAGGGTCCCATATTTAGCTACCTAAATGTGAGAATGACCTGACCCGACCCAACCCAGAAAAAAAACTGGGCTGGGTTGGGTTGGGTTGGGTCATGGGTCAACCCGCTGACCTGATTGTCAAGTCTAATTGAGACTATTTATGCATTGTTAAAAGTTTCCACTCTTTAATTTTTTCTATTTAGTCTTTACTCTTTAAATTGTTAAATGTTCAAGTTTTTTTATTTTATATTTGGAATTTTAAGGTTAATTCTTTAAAGTTTGGCATTTTCATGTAGTTTTTCTTTATTTTTTTAAATTTCATTTATTTTTTTGGGATGACCCATGGGTCAACCCTAACCCGAACACACTTAGGGTTAGGGTCTAGCATTCAGCAACCCAACCCAAAATTCAACCCGACCCATAATTAACCCGAAGTGCCTTGACCCAACTGAACCCGACCCACCCAAACCAATTGCCAGGTCTACTAGCCATAAACTATCAACTGATAATGGTAAGCTTTTAGCAAATAGGGTAGTGTTTCGGAGACTTTTGGGGAAGTTGTTATACCTTTGCATGACAAGACTAAATATCTCACATGCTATTAGTGTGATCAATTAGTTTATGCATGCCCTTAGAGACACATATATGGCTACTGCAGAATGAGTAATATTGATGATAGCAGATTTACATCATTATACTGTGCCTTGGTTGCAAGAAACATTGTATCCTGGAGTAAGAAACAGTCAATAGTAGCTAGGTCTTCAGCTGAGGCAAAGTACAGGGCAATAGCACATCGAGTTTCAAAGTTGTTATGGCTCAAGTCACTTCTAGAGAAGATGGGTATTACACATGATAAGCCCTTAATGAGGCTCTTTGTGGCTCTTGGAAGATAAGTGTGTTTGTCTTCCTCCTGTAAATTTTCTACTGATGATTTAATGAAAGTGTTATTGATCAAAAAAAAATGATAAGCCCTTAATGCTTTACTGTGATAATCAGGTTGCGATCTACATAGCTCACAACCCAATTCAGTATGACAGGACAAAACATATTGAAGTCGACCGGCATTTTATAAGAGAAAGGGTAGCTTCCAGAGAAGTTTGCCTTCCTTTTATTGCCTCAGAGCAATAGTTAGAAGATGTTCTGACCAAGGGTGTCCCCAAGGCAAAGTTACAACATTGTGTAAGCAAGTTGGGCATGACTAATATCTATGCTTAGCTTGAGGGGGACTTTAGAGAAAATATGTTGAATGGGCCTTAGTTTCTTTATTTTTCTTTAACTTGTGTTTATGACTTGTATTAGTAGGTAGTGGGCCTTAGTTATGGGCCTATTTTCTTGTTTTTAATTGTTGTCTTTAGTGATGGACGCCCTACTAAGGGCACTTATGTAATTTGTCCTTATTTTTTACAACAAAATAATAAAAGAGATCATTGAGGGCTGAAGAGAGTTTTTAGAACAACTCTCTCTTCTTCTTCCTTTTCTTCCATCTTCTTCCTCCATCATTTTTCTCTCTTCAATCTCCTTCTTTTCTCCTATTTCTTTTCTTTTAATTCAGATTATTGCATGTATGATTTACAACTGAATCCTAGGTCCATACAAAGCTCAGAGGTCAGTGCCATTAACTTCCTAACTTCATTCTTTGTATGTCGCATCCATAAAAGAGAAGATCCTCATTTAATCTTAAACATGTGGATTTATCACGTGGAGAATCCAGAGGTGGATGGTTGCTGATCAGATTGGAAAGGAACTCTCATTAGTGCAAGAGTGTGGAGAGTCATCTTACTGTATTTGAGGGAGATCCTAGTTCAGCATCATTCATTCTGGACATTCGATTCCAAATCCAACTAGCCCTTATTTCTAAGTTTCAATCTAGTTTCCAAAGCTAAGTGCTAGATCCATTGGTATTGTGAATATTTGTTTCCATTCTACTAGTTTGTTACATTGTATTGCAAATAGTAGTACAGTAGCATGGTTTGTGATAAAACTCAGATCTGAACCAGAATTAGTTTGTTAATAATAGAGAAGAAAGAGAGAAGAGAGAAGAGAGGAGAAGAAAGAGAGATGAAGGAGAAAAGGCCAGTTCAAACTAGAGAGCAAAATCTACTCTCTAGTCAGCTAGGTTATATTTACAGTTTTCTATAAATAGAAACAAAATGACTGTTGTGCCCCTACTTAAGTATGGAACACATCACTTAACTTAAACATTACACCTCAGACCAAAATATAAATAAAAAGACCAAACTGCCCCTATACAGTCAACACTAACAGCTTGCATGACTCATCCGTAAAATAACTGGTGAATAAAAAATTATGAGTAAGATCCAACACTTGATCCTTGCATGCCAAGAAAAGTTAACAAGTCATATGTCAGGACAGTATTCTACCAAAAAAATTGAGGATAGTAGAGATTACCACAAAAAGAAGGCGAAAATTGGTCACAAATAAGGTGCCCGCCTCATCAGTATTTACAAGAACAACACCCTGGCCCTGGGATCAGATTTCCAAACAAAAATGAGGCAACAAATAACACTCAGAAGAAAGACTAAAAGAAATCTTGATCTATATTACTTAATTATTATCCACAAAATTATAAATTAGGACCTAGAAAATGGAAATGCCATGATATGATTATTTCATTTATGTAATAGAGAAACTGTCATAAGTCAAATCCATCAGTAATAAATTTTACCAACTTAAACACAATGTCAGGGATTATCCACTCATTAAATTTATGGTTCTTTATTTTTTTGAAATGTAAAAGGAAAATTATGTTAAAGAAAAGAAAAGAATGTTTGACAAAAAAATATTAAAGCTAAGTTTAGGCATGTAACAAACTCTATCAAAGGAAGAAAATGAAATTTGTAAAATTGCAAATATAAGAAAAACAAATAGCAAATATTTAAATTGTGTTACATGCATCAAAGAGGAAAATCAAAATCTTGATAAAATATGAGAAAATCAATTAAAGATGGAAAAACTATTTTGAAAATTTACTAAAATAAAAGGCTGTTAATGGGGGAGGAATTAGTGTCTTATGAAGTCAATCGGTACTTTCAAAAATTAGAGTTTCCAAAGTAAATGAGGCCGAAAGGCATTAAGATATAATAGAAAGCAAATAGAATTATAGAAGTTTGGTAAGGTCTAGAAAAGAACCTATTATGGCTAAGTAAACTATTTAATAAGATAACGAAAACAAAGAAGATGCAAGAGGAATGGAAAGAGCACTAATGGTGCTTTTTAAAAACAACACATTTGTATTATATATCAGCCTAAACAGGGTAGCATATACAGGTGTGTTCTCATGTACAACAAGGTACTATACAAAACCTATAAGCTACAGGGAACACCTCCAAGTAGAAAAGGAAGCAACAAAAAGCAACCATGTTTCAACTCTTCAATTCTATTCAAGCAAGAAACAACAGGCTTGTGTCAAAAAAAAAAAAAAAAACTCTAGTAAGAGATATCTTTGAAAGTGTTCTGCTGTTGTCCATGAATGAACTAGAGCTATGGTCCAAAAGATAGATAAAGGGATGATACTCCATTGCACTAGGTCTCTCTTTTTTAGCCTTCTATCTTCCATCCCTGCATCAGCTCCACCATTGATTTAGTGCGGTTAAAGTTCACCAGATTGCAGAAGCAAAGAGAGATGAGCTAAGTAGGTAATGAATAAAAACATAGTTTGAAGTTTCCATATCCTATGAGTAAAGTACACAACCTGGTTCAGGGAGCACCATACCTCTATTAATGAAGTTGCCCTTTGTAAGGCATTTGCCTAGTGATGATGGCCACCCACACTATAAAAGTAACCTTCAATAAAACTGGATGTTTTCAAATCTCTTCATGTGGAAAGTTGTCTTTTTAGCACCATTTAGCTTATTCAAAAAGGACGTGACAGAAAATGTTTTTTGATTTATCCCATATTCAGACTCTGGTATCAGGTATGCTCCACTCCAAATGATACACCTCTAATAATTGAATCAGGTTTGATAAGTCCTTCACTTCCCATTCATTTAAATTCCTTATAAAGCAAGATTTCCATATAATCCTACTAGCCATGATTTATAGGTCATCCACCAATGTATAATTGTTGCAAGCAACTAAGAACAGTGAAGGAAATAGTTCCATTAAAGGTCTCCCATCCCACATGGATCGTGCCAAAACCACACCCTAATTCCAAAGCCCACTTTACATTTGATTCCTCTAATAAAAAAAGGGTAGAACTTTCTGGATGCCTTCCACAAAGAACACCCGAATGAGATTGATGAAATCCCAGGGTCGCAATTAATATTTCTGGTATCAAATTCCTCAGCAATCACTCTTCTCCATAGAGCTTCATGCTGAGTACATAAGTGTCAAAACCAACTACCTATTAAAAATATATTAGTCACTCATAATCTTCTGATTCATAAACCCCCATTTAATGTTGGTAAACACAATCTATCCCAATCCACTAAATGTATTTTCTTGCTTTACCCCAGCCATGCCATAGAAAGTCTCTTTTATTCCTATCCTAGCTAGTATAGAGGCAAAATTGGATGATGATGTTGATGAGTGATATTGATTGGTTGTAAAAGCACACAATCCTCTAAACTGGTCTCAGAGATAATTTTTTTCTTCTGCTTTGAGCGGTTAGTAATCTCCACCTTCTTCAAGCGCAATGACAAACTTCCTTATTTTTAATAGACCTGTCCAACCAATCCCTCAGTTCAAAAGCAATCATTTAAAAAAGAGTTAGATAAAATGTAAGTTGATAAAAGGATAGATGAAAGCATGGTTCTCATAAAACTACATAACAGCCCCATGAATCATCTTTCCTCCTCGTCTATTGCTATATAGAAAGTTGGAGTTCTCAAAGATGTATCTATCCGGTTCACAGCAGCGGCATATCTCTGTTTGCAGGAGGGCTTACTAGAGTAGAGACCCATAAAATACGGAGTTCGAAAGTCCATTTAAGCAATTCTAACTGCAGGCTACCGAATCATACACATAACCCCTTCACGATCATCTCATCATAGGCATCCCCCCCCCAATAATTCCTTTGTGTTTATCCACCATGGACTAGTGACGCCCAAACCGAGAAGCAGTGGGGGAGAAGAAAACAACGATAACAGAAATTAAGGAATCAAATGCGTAAACTATGAACATTCAATCCTCCGCAATTACAAAAGCTAAAAGATTCAAAAAACAAGAGTTTCCAGTTTACGATAAAAAATAAATCTAGAAAGCAAATAATTTAGCATTCTTTAGCGGCTCGTGAACATACAATCGCTGCAATTTCCTCCGCTTCCAACAGGAACTCCTTGATACCATATGGCACGGACCTCGAAACCGGCTGCAAATTGAAATACCAAGAATGCAACCAAAAAAACGAAGTTACAAGGCACGTCACAGAGGGCTGTGATCAAAATTAACTGCTGATTCTTCTGAAAACCCTAGAAATACGGCACCTCGATCTTAGTCCATTCGAGAACGTCCCAATTCCCAGCACCCTCCATCTTCTCCGACTCGGATAATTGATCAACGAAGCCCCGCAGGGAGGCCGATCGAGAACGAGAAGGTCGTGGCCTTGGCGCGGCCATTCTTCGACGAGACAGGTCTGTCTGCTAATTGATCCGGAGACTCTGCGAGACGGACAATCAGGTAAACATGAGTCGCTCTGCCCACATCAGCTCTGTTGCCCTCCTGCCGTTCAAAATAACCTCCGCCCCTTCGCCGCTCCCACGTGATCCCGCCCACCGACTGGCCCGATCCGATATAAGAAAGGAATTGGCGTCGTAGCCTCGTAGATCAGATCTGCTTGCATCTGATCTAAACATTCTCATACTAATAAAGTGACATCCGTCGGATTGGAATATGTCCAACTGTGGATACCATCTATAGATGGAGCAGGGCTCATGGAATCATGACCTTGTCGAAATGGGAAACGTTCAACTATCAGGAGGATTGGAGGTTCCACTTCAACGACCTAACACAAACCACACATGTGATTTCCCGCCAACTAGCAAGGGGAAACGAAAAGCTTCTTTGTAGCCTATCATCACCATCTTGCTTATCTGGGAAATGAAAGTGGGCCCGGTGGTCCTCCGATCCTTCCACGAAGAAGCAGCCAAAGTGACCTCTTGTTTTTTGCGTGCCACTATTTCCAATTCCACCGTTGGCTCTGAGCAATGATTCTTTTTTATCTACCCACGCGGTAAAAGTATCCCTGAAATCAATATCAACCATTACAGAAATTTTGACGTGAAGTTATTACCAAACTTCACCAACTCTCCATTATTTGTTGCTTATTTTCTGTCAAAACCACATTATATGTTTTTTAGGTTTTCGGTTTCCCTTCATAAATTTAAGGGTCCGTTTGATTTGCCATCAGAATAGCCTATTTCCCGTGTTTGTTTGGTTCAGCGAGAGGAATTTGAATCAAATTCATAACATATACACAACTAGGGTTTTGGTTGGGGGGTTGAAGTATACACCTATTCACAGGCCGGACCAAACGAGGTTTTGGTTAATCTTTGCACAAATCACATTCAATCTCGCGCTTGACCTTCATATTAACAAAACACATTCTTCCGACATGATAATATTTTATCTTTACTATAATCATTGCCAATATTGAATATTCTTTCTCCTATCAAAGGCCGTTACAAGCATACGGTGATAAGAAATTTAAGAAAATGAACTCCTCGATCCTTATAGTGGGCTATCCATATAGCTACTCCAAAGTCACTTTAAGGCATTGCCCTTATTCCGTGTGTCCATGAATAATGATACAACCATATGGAATGGGTCCATGGCCGATTCCAACAAACAAATTAATATGCGTAAATTATAAGGACCCTATTTTAGTGATGTGGTGAACAATAATTAGAGAATCATGTAATACCTCAGATGTTCAACGTCTGATGTCATCCTTTGGACAATGATGTTGCGCCTTCTATCACAAGATTAAAGTTGTCCTTGCGGATGCACTAGAGAAATTTGGCAGCATTTTAGGCTTCCAATGGCCCATTATAGCTAACAATGAAGAAATGAATAATCCTGCAAAAGCACGGATATTCTCCATCTACGATCATTCTTTGTCCAACCAAATCGTGTTTTTGATCAGTATGGTAATTGCGGATGCACTAGTGCAATTTGATAGCATTTCAAGCCTCTAATGGCTAGTAACAGAGAATCCTACGAAACCATAGATATCCATTTTCCGATATCGTTCTTCATACAACCGGGTCGTGCCCCCTATTTCTATGATCCAAAAAATCCTATAAAACCACTGGTATTTACCATTTGGATCATCCTCCGTACAATAAAGTCATTGTTTTATCAAAAAGTCAATATTGTTTATGGGGGGGGGGGGATACATTGGTAAAGTTTACGTGCATTCCAATCATTCTATGCTCTTTTGTAGTGAATAACAAAAAATCCTGTAAAATCATGGACCTTTACCATCCAAGATTGTCCTATGTACAATTGTGTCGCACCTTCTAATGGAAAATCAACACAATCTTGCAATTTGGCTACTCATATGCCCCGCTGTGGCAAATAATAGAGAATCCTAAGATACCATAGATGTTCGCCGTATGGTACCTCCTTGATGCAACACTGTTGTACCTTTTGCTATAAGTTTAAAACAATCATTTGCAAATGCATTAATACAATACTGCAACATTCTAGGCCTCCAATGGCCTATTATGGACTTATGGATAATGACGGAGAATCCTACAAAACCAAGGATGTTCACCGTTCGGTATCGTCCTTCATACAACTAGGTCGTGCCTTCCACATACAATTGGATCGTGCCTTCTAACAAAAGGTCGATATAGTCCTTCTATATGCATTGGTGCAATTTTGCGACACTTTGGTGCTCATATGCCCCACATTGGCGAATAACAGAAAATCATAAGATACCTCGAATGTTTATTGTCCAGTTCCATCCTTGGGGCAACCTTGTTGTGCCTTTCTACCCTAAGGTCAATACAATCCATGCAGATGCACTAATGCAATTTGGTGACATTCTAGTCCTCATCTGCCTTGGTATGGTGAATAATAGAGAATCATAAGTTCAACGTCTGATGTTGTCCTTTGGGCAACGATGTTGTGCCTTCTACCGTAAGATCACCGTATGTAGGGTCATATTGAAAATGACTAGTAATTAAGGTTGCGTTTGGTTGTGTTCTTTTGCACCCGGTTCAATTTTGCATCTATTTGTTTGTAACCATGATTTACAATTTTACTTGGTATCCTTGGTAGCGTAAATTTTGTATCCAAAAAATTGATGCAAAAATTGTATTGCCTTCCTCCTACCTCAAGGCCTAGTTTGGAAGGAGTACAAATGCAAATATGTAGAGTGCAAAATCTTATATTTTGTATTGTTTTGTATGTATTTGCATTATACATATTTGCATTTATACTCCTTCCAAACTGAGCCTAAATCTCTCTCATAAAGTGGGGGACCATGTTATCTTGTTTCTTATATTACCCCCAAACAAATAACTCTCATTATACCTCCATTCTCTTGCATAAAAGGTGGGGCCATACCATTTTGCTTTATATTTTACTTTGGGCAAAATTCTTAAATTACCCTTATGGTTTAGCTAATTAACTACCTGTACCCTTACTATTTAACTATTGTCTTAAACCACCCCTATTGTTTATGACAATTGTCATTCCCGTTAAATTGTAATGGAAATGATAAAATTTCCTTTTTGCCCTTAAGTTATTTTTTGAATCTCCTTCGATCCCATATTTCCTCTCCCCTCATTCTCTCTCTATCCATTATTGCATTGTCACTAGTCAATCTTTCTCTAGGGTAATCTTTGAAATCTTTTGCTTTTGTTTCTTCATGGTCTGGACTAGCTCAGTATAGCTACATAACCAAAGATTCTTTCCCTGGAACAAAGAAACCCAGAATAACAAAACAAAGAAACCCTTCCTGGGTCACTTCTAAACTTCTAGGGTTGGGGAGCTTTTTAGGGGTCTCGATGGAGGGAATGGAAGCGGAGACAATGAAGTTCTTGGAAGAGATAGAAAAAAGAATTCTATTGGAAAGGGGTAAGATGGGGACTAAAAGAGGGGGAACAAACTCCAAGAGGAGAAGAGAAATTATGTGTCTCTCTTGGGGCTTGAATGAGAAGGCTAGGAGCAGTGTTGGGGAGGTAAGGGGGTCGAAGAAAAACTAAGAGGGTGGGGGAGTGAGTTCTAGGAGTGGGAGGTGTTGGCTCTTCTTTTGTCATATCAAATATTAAAATTCTTTCTATGAAATTTTGAGGGTTGGGGTCTGGGAGAAGAAGAATGGTGGTTTGTGATTCATTAAAGGCTTCAAATTCAGGAATTGTATTGATTCAAGAAACCAAATTGGAAAAAATTGATGCTGGTATTATTCAGAGTATTTGGGGAGATGGTCAGGTAAGATGGAGGACAAAGGCAGCCAATGGGAGTGCGGGAGGCTTGCTATATCTTTGGGACCCCCTAGTTTGTAGTTTGATTTCTTGCAAAAGTGGGAATTTCTCGATCTCTCTTGTCTTGAAGTTGTAGGATGGTAATATCGTTTAAGTCACAAATGTGTATGGTCCAACAATTTCTAATCTTAGGAGGAGTTTATGAGAGGAACTGGCTGATATGAGGGGGACTTTGACTCATCCTTGGGTTATTGGGGGTGATTTTAATGTCACCTTATCGGTGGAAGAGAAGAATACAAGAAGTGGCAGAATGGTGTCGATGAGGCAGTTTGCAGATTTCATTAGTAACATGGATCTAATGGACATTCCCATTCAAGGTAACAAGTTCACTTGGACAAATAACTAGGATACCCCTACCTTGGTCAGATTGGATAGATTTCTTGTTTCCTCAAATTGGGAGGACATCTTTCCGGACTTTAGGCAGGTATCCTTACCCAAACCTGTCTCAGACCACAGTCCTATTCAGCTTATTTGTGGGGAGAGGGAGAAGGTCAAAGCTCCCTTTAAATTTGAAAACTCTTGGTATGAGGAGGAAACTCTCAGACCATTGATGAAGAAAGTGTGGRAAGAACTTCAGGTGGAGGGATCCAGTTCCTTTGTTCTGGCAAAAAAAATATGACAGCTATAAAAAAAAAGAATTAAAATCTGGAACTTGGAGAATAAGTTAAAGTTGGGGACTGAAAGAAAAGCTTTATTGGGTATTATTGAAGAGATTGAAAAAGCAGAAGAAATGGGTCATATTTCTGAAGAGTTTAGGCTGAAAAGACTTCAAGCAAAATACAGCATTGAAAAATTGGCGGTGAAAGAGGAATTGAAATGGAGACAATGGGCTAAAGTTAAATGGCTAAACGTAGGTGACAAAAATACACATTTCTTTCACAAAGTGGCTAATGATAGAGCTAGAGTTTCAGCTATTAAGAAGTTGACATGGAATGAGAGATGTGATGAATCTAATTCAGAGATTAAAGCAGTTGCAACCTCTTTCTATAAAGATCTTTACAAGGAAAAGTGGAAGCTGAGGCCATTTCCCTCCAATCTCTCCTTTAGGCAACTGAGTGAGACCCAGAAAATTTGGCTTGAAAGGCCTTTTATAGAAGAGGAAGTCTGTGCAGCAATTAAGAAGCTTGAAGGTGATAAATCCTCTGGGCCGGATGGTTTTACCAATCTGTTCTATCTGAAGTGCTGGGACTTCGTGAAAGAAGATGTGATGAAGGTGTTCCAGGAGTTTCATGCAAATGCGTCCCCACAAAGAAGTCTAAATGCCACTTTTATCTCCCTTATTCCAAAAATTGAGGGGGCTACGAATATTAAGGAGTTTAGGCCGATTAGCTTACTTCACAGTTTCTATAAAATTTTGGCAAAAGTCTTGGCATAAAGAATGAAAGGGGTAATAGGTAATGTTATTTCAAATAATCAGAGTGCATTTATTCCAGGCAATTAGATGGTAGACTCAATTTTAATTGCTAATGAGTTAATTGACTCAAGGAGAAGACAGGGTATTYCGGGGGTTGTTTGTAAGCTTGACATTGAGAAGGCTTATGACTATGTCAACTGGAAT